TCGTCATGGTCATTGTCATGGTCATTGTCATCATCATCATGGTCATCATCGTCATCATTCTCATCGTCATCATCATCATTGTCATGGTCATTGTTATCATCATCATCATTGTCATGGTCATGGTCATCATTGTCATGGTCATTGTCATCATCGTGGTCATCATCGTCATCATTGTCATGGTCATCATCATCATCATCATCATTGTCATGGTCATCGTCATGGTCATTGTCATCATCATCGTCATCATTCTCATGGTCATCATCATCATCATCATTGTCATCGTCATCATCATCATTGTCATGGTCATCATCATCATCATCATTGTCATGGTCATCATTGTCATGATCATCATCATCATCATCATCATCATTGTCATGGTCATCGTCATCATCATCGTCATCGTCATCATCATGGTCATTGTTATCATCATCATCATTGTCATGGTCATGGTCATCGTCATTGTCATCATCATCATCATCATCATGGTCATCATCGTCATGGTCATCCATCGTTCATCAACTCCATCATCATTGTCATTGTCATCATCATTCGTTCAACCTCCATTCAAGCTTCATCCATCATCATCATCATCATTGTCATGATCATGGTCATTGTCATCATCATCATCATGGTCCATCATGGTCATGGTCATTGTCATGATCATCATCATCGTCATGGTCATCATCATGGTCATGGTCATTGCCATCATCATCATCCATCATTCATCAACTCCATCATCATCGTCATCATCGTCATCCATCATTCAACCTTCTCCATTCAACCTTCATCCATCATCGTCATCATCATCATCATCGTCATCATCATCATGGTCATGGTCATGGTCATGGTCATCGTCATCCATCGTTCATCAACTCCATCATCGTCATTGTCATCATCATCATCATCGTCATGGTCATCCATCGTTCATCAACTCCATCATCATCATCGTCGTCATCCATCATTCAACTTTCTCCATTCAACCTTCATCCATCATCGTCATCATCGTCATCATGGTCATGGTCATTGTCATCATCATCATTGTCATCCATGGTTCATCAACTCCATCGTCATCATCATCATCATCCTTCATTCAACCTTCTCCATTCAACGTTTATCCATCATCGTCATCATCATGGTCATCATCATCGTCATGGTCATCCATCATTCATCAACTCCATCATCATCGTCATCATCGTCATCCATGATTCAGCCTTCTCCATTCAACCTTCATCCATCATCGTCATCATCATCATCATCATCATCATCAACTCCATCATCCTTCATCCAACCTTCCTCACCATCATCGTCACCATCGTCATCATCATCATCATCCCACCATCATCGTCATCATCGTCACCATTGTAATCTCCATCATCCTTCATCCTTCTCCATCCATCATCACCATCACCTTCCTCCCCCTCGCCTCCCTTTGCCCCTCCCCCTTTGCCCCTCCCCCTTTGCCCCTCCCCCTTTGCCCCTCCCCCTTTGCCCCTCCCGCCCCGGTGTCTCTCACCTTAGCCCCGCCCCCCTCTCAGGTGCCACCTCCGCTCCGCCTCCGTCACCGTCACCGTCGCCGGCCCCGCCCCTCCCCCCCCCTCCAGCGCCACCTCCAGTGCGGGGGGAGGGGCAAAGGGGGGAGGGGCAAAGGGGCCCCCCCGGGGTGGGGGAGGGGCGCAGGTGCGCAGCAGCACCTGCGGGAGGGGGGAGGGGGCGGCGGCCACGCCCCTTCCGGAAGAGCCTCGAGTTCACCTGGCAGGTGTGGGGGGAGGGGCTGGGGGGTGGGGGAGGGGCTTGGGGAGGGGGAGGGGCTGGGGGAGGGGGAGGGGAGAGAGAGAGAGAGAAAAAGAGAGGGGGGAGGGGTTGGGGGAGGGGCCCGGACATTCCCCTCCCCCCCCATTCATGTCCGGGCCCCTCCCCCGACAGGTGAGGGGGACACACCTGGGATACACCCGAGATACACCTGGGACACACCTGGGACACACCTGGGATACACCCGAGATACACCCAAGATACACCTGGGTTACACCTGGGATACACCTGGGATACACCCAAGATACACCTGAGATACACCTGAGATACACCTGAGATACACCTGGGACACACCTGGGATACACCTGGGATACACCTGGACAGGTGAGATACACCTGGGATACACCTGAGTTACACCTGGGATACACCTGGGACACACCTGGGCCACACCTGAACCCCCCCACGTCCCCCCCCAGCCCCCCATAGGGCCCCCCAGCCCCTCACCTGTCCTGCACGTGCCCTCCCAGGTGTCCCCAGGTGTACCCAGGTGTCCCCAGGTGTGCCCTTACCTGTGCCCCAGCTGTCCCCCGGTGTGCCCAGGTGTCCCCCCAGGTGTGCCCTTACCTGTGGCACAGGTGTGCCCCTTACCTGTGGCACAGGTATCCCCCCAGGTGTGCCCTTACCTGTGGCACAGGTGTGCCCTTACCTGTGGCACAGGTGCGCTGCCCGGCGCAGGCCCCGCAGAGCCCCCCGGCCGTCCTCGCTGTCACGGTCACGGCGCCGTCGCCGGCCAGGCTCACCTGCAGCCCCGCCCAGGTGAGCAGCACCTGGCGCTGCCCCCCCCGGCGCCGCACCTGACACGACCCCCGGCCAGGGACACGGGGAGGGGCACGGGGCGGCCTCGCACCTGGGACAGGTGAGACACAGGGGGTCATGGTCAGGTGGGACAGGTGAGACATGGGACAGGTGAGACACAGCTGGGATACACCTGGGACAGGTGAGACACAGGGGGTCATGGTCAGGTGGGACAGGTGAGACACAGCTGGGACGGGGGAGACACACGTGGGACACACCTGGGACAGGTGAGACACAGGGGGTCATGGTCAGGTGGGACAGGGGAGACACAGCTGGGACACACCTGGGACAGGTGAGACACACCTGGTGAGACACATGGGATACACCTGGGACAGGTGAGGACACAGGGGGTCATGGTCAGGTGGGACAGGTGAGACATGGGACAGGTGAGACACAGCTGGGATACACCTGGGACAGGTGAGACACAGGGGGTCATGGTCAGGTGGGACAGGTGAGACATGGGACAGGTGAGACACAGCTGGGATACACCTGGGACAGGTGAGACACAGGGGGTCATGGTCAGGTGGGACAGGTGGGACACAGCTGGGACGGGTGAGACACACATGGGACACACCTGGGACAGGTGAGACACAGGTGGTCATGGGCAGGTGGGACAGGTGAGACACAGCTGGGACACACCTGGGACAGGTGAGACACAGGTGGTCATGGGCAGGTGGGACAGGTGAGACACAGCTGGGACACACCTGGGACAGGTGAGACACACCTGGGATACACCTGGGACAGGTGAGACACAGGGGGTCATGGTCAGGTGGGACAGGTGAGACACAGCTGGGGACAGGTGAGATACACGTGGGATACACCTGGGACAGGTGAGACACAGCTGGTGAGACACATGGGATACACCTGGGACAGGTGGGACACAGGTGGGATACACCTGGGACAGGTGAGACACAGGGGGGTCATGGTCAGGTGGGACAGGGGAGACACAGCTGGGACGGGGGGAGACACAGGGGGTCAGGTGGGGACAGGTGAGACACAGCTGGGACACACCTGGGACAGGTGAGACACACGTGGGATACACCTGGGACAGGTGAGACACACCTGGGACACACCTGAGACAAGGGAGACACAGCTGGGACAGGTGAGACACCTGGGACAGGTGAGACCCACGTGGTCAGGTGGGACAGGTGAGACACAGCTGGTGAGACACATGGGACACACCTGGGACAGGTAAGACACACGTGGTGAGACAGACGGGATAGTGGAGACACACCTGGGATAGGTGAGACACATGGGACAGGTGAGACACACCTGGGACACACCTGGGATGGGGGAGACACACCTGGACACACCTGGGACACACCTGGGATGGGGAGACACATGGGATACACCTGGGACAGGTGGGACACACTTGGGGACACACCTGTGAGAGGTGAGACACACGTGGGTCAGGTGGGACAGGTGAGACACACCTGGTGAGACAGGTGAGACACACAGCTGGGACACACCTGGGACAGGTGAGACACACCTGGTGAGACACATGGGATACACCTGGGACAGGTGAGACACACCTGAGACAGGAACAAGGACACACCTGGGACAGGGACGGGGACACACCTGGGACACACCTGGGACAAGTGGGACACACCGGAGACAGTGACAGGGACACACCTGGGACAGGTGAGACAAACCTGGGACAAACCTAGACAGACACACCTGAGACAGGGACACACCTGGGATAGGGACACATCTGAGACAGGTGAGACACACCTGGGACAGGGACAGGGACACACCTGGGATAGGGACACACCTGGGATAGGGACAGGGACAAGGACACACCTGAGACAGGGACAGGGACACACCTGGGACAGGTAAGACACACCTGGGACAGGTGAGACACACCTGGGACAGGGACAGGGACACACCTGGGACAGGGACAGGGACACACCTGGGACAGGTGAGACACACCTGGGACAGGGACACACCTGGGACACACCTGGGACAGGTGGGACAAACCTAGACAGACACACCTGGGACAAGTGGGACACACCTGGGACAGGTGAGACACACCTGGGACAGGGACAGCGACGACACACCTGGGACACACCTGGGACAGGTGGGACAAACCTAGACAGACACACCTGGGACAGGGACACACCTGGGACAAGTGGGACACACCTGGGACAGGGTCAGGGCCACACCTGTGACACCGCACACCTGTGCAGGTGCCTCACTCACCCTGGCCGTTCTCCCCTCTCCGTGCCTCAGCTCCACCTGGACCCCGGCTCCGGCCACCCTCACCTGCCCGAAGGCGGCGCCCGCCTGGCCCGAGAGCCACACCTGGAGCTCAGGTGAGCCGGCGCAGGCGGGCCACCAAGGGACAGGTGAGCGGCAGCCGCCAGGTGAGGCCGTCGAAGGCGCGGAAGCGGCGCGGCTCAGGACGTGACACACGAGGGGCGGGGGCCGGCGCGCAGGTGGGGCTGCAGGTGAGGCCAGGTGGGCAGGGCGGGGGCCTGGCAGGTGGATCCAGGTGGGCAGGTGAGGTCCTGGCAGGTGAGTTTGACAGGGACACACCTGGGCGTGGATTTCTCCATTCTGCAGGTGGACCCAGGTGGGCAGGTGAGGTCCTGGCAGGTGAGTTTGACAGGGACACACCTGGGCGTGGTTCTGTCCATTCTACAGGTGGATCCAGGTGGGCAGGTGAGGTCCTGGCAGGTCACAGTGATGGGGACACACCTGGGCGTGGATTTCTCCATTGTACAGGTGGATCCAGGTGGGCAGGTGAGGTCCTGGCAGGTGAGTTTGACAGGGACACACCTGGGCGTGGATTTCTCCATTCTGCAGGTGGATCCAGGTGGGCAGGTGAGGTCCTGGCAGGTCAAGGCCACCTTTGGGACACACCTGGGCGTGGTTCTGTCCATTGTACAGGTGGATCCAGGTGGGCAGGTGAGGTCCTGGCAGGTGAGTTGGACAGGGACACACCTGGGCGTGGATTTCTCCATTGTACAGGTGGATCCAGGTGGGCAGGTGAGGTCCTGGCAGGTCACAGTGACAGGGACACACCTGGGCGTGGTTCTGTCCATTCTACAGGTGGATCCAGGTGGGCAGGTGAGGTCCTGGCAGGTGAGTTTGACAGGGACACACCTGGGCGTGGTTCTGTCCATTGTACAGGTGGACCCAGGTGGGCAGGTGAGGTCCTGGCAGGTCACAGTGATGGGGACACACCTGGGTGTGGATTTCTCCATTGTACAGGTGGATCCAGGTGGGCAGGTGAGGTCCTGGCAGGTGAGTTTGACAGGGACACACCTGGGCGTGGTTCTGTCCATCTGGCAGGTGGATCCAGGTGGGCAGGTGAGGTCCTGGCAGGTGAGTTTGACAGGGACACACCTGGGCGTGGTTCTGTCCATTCTACAGGTGGATCCAGGTGGGCAGGTGAGGTCCTGGCAGGTCACAGTGACGGGAACACACCTGGGCGTGGTTCTGTCCATGTGACAGGTGGATCCAGGTGGGCAGGTGAGGTCCTGGCAGGTCACAGTGACGGGAACACACCTGGGCGTGGTTCTGTCCATGTGACAGGTGGATCCAGGTGGGCAGGTGAGGTCCTGGCAGGTGAGTTTGACAGGGACACACCTGGGCGTGGTTCTGTCCATGTGACAGGTGGATCCAGGTGGGCAGGTGAGGTCCTGGCAGGTCGAGGCCACCTTGGGGACACACCTGGGCCAGCCCTGCAGCACCTGGCAGGTGGCACCTGGCTCGCAGGTGACGTCGGAGCAGGACAGGGCGGGGAGGGCACGGACACGGCGCTGGACACGGACACAGTGCGGCCACCCTGCGGTCACCTGGCACCTGGTGGCCTTGGGACACTGGACATCACTGCAGGACGGAGCCAGGATGGACACCTTGGACTGGACACACTGGGGGTGACCACTGACCATGCGGCACGAGGTGGCCTTGGGACACTGGAGGTCACTGCAGGATGGAGAGGAGTGGACACACTGCGGCCACCCATCGGTCATCTGGCATTGGGTGCCATGTGGACAGTGGAGGTCACTGCAGGAAGGTCTCCTGATGGACGTCTTGGTCTGGACACACTGGGGATGACCACTGACCATCTGGCACGTGGTGTCCTTGGGACAGTGGACATCGAGACAGGACGGGGAGTTATGGACACACTGCGGCCACCCATTGGTCATTTTGCACCTGGTGCCCTGGGGACAGTGGAGGTCACTGCAGGAAGGTCTCCTGATGGACGTCTTGGTCTGGACACACTGGGGATGACCACTGACCATGTGGCACGAGGTGTCCTTGGGACACTGGAGGTCGCTGCAGGACGGTGGCCTTGGGGACACCTTGGTCTGGACACACCGTGGCCACCCATTGACCATCTGACATGTGGTGTCCTTGGAGCACTGGACATCAAGACAGGACGGGGGGGTCATGGACACACTGCGGCCACCCATCGGTCATCTGGCACGAGGTGTCCTTGGAGCAGTGGACATCATGGCAGGAAGGTCTCCTGATGGACGTCTTGGTCTGGACACACCTTGGCCATCCCCTGACCATCTTGCAAGTGGTGTCCTTGGGACACTGGACATCCTGGCAGGACGGTTGGTGGTGGACACACTGCGGCCACCCATTGGTCATCCTGCAGGAGGTGTCCTTGGAGCACTGGACATCACTGCAGGACGGTCTCTTGATGGACGTCTTGGTCTGGACACACCGTGGCCACCCACTGACCATCTGGCACATTGTCCCTTTCTGGCACTGGACATCCTGGCAGGACGGTTGGTGGTGGACACACTGCGGCCACCCATCGGGTCATCTGGCATTGGGTGCCCTTGGGACAGTGGAGGTCACTGCAGGACGGTGGCCTTGGTGGACACCTTGGTGTGGACACAGCTTGGCCACCCACTGACCATGTGGCACGAGGTGTCCCTTGGGACACTGGACATCCTGACACGATGGTTGGTGGTGGACACACTGCGGCCACCCATCGGTCACCTGGCATTGGGTTCCCTGGGGACAGTGGAGGTCACTGCAGGACGGTCTCCTGATGGACGTCTTGGACTGGACACAGCGTGGCCACCCACTGACCATCTGGCACATTGTCCCCTTCTGGCACTGGACATCCTGGCAGGATGGTCGCTGATGGACACACTGCGGCCACCCATCGGTCATCTGGCATGAGGTGTCCTTGGAGCACTGAACATCACGGCAGGAAGGTCTCCTGATGGACGTCTTGGTGTGGACACACTGGGGATGACCACTGACCATGTGGCACGAGGTGTCCTTGGGACACTGGAGGTCGCTGCAGGACGGTGGCCTTGGGGTCAGCTTGGTGTGGACACACCGTGGCCACCCACTGACCATCTGGCACGTGGTGTCCTTGGAGCACTGGACATCGAGACAGGATGGTTGGTCATGGACACACTGTGGCCACCCATTGGTCATCTGGCATTGGGTTCCCCGGGGACAGTGGACATCATGGCAGGAAGGTCTCCTGATGGACGTCGTGGACTGACACACTGGGGTTGACCACTGACCATGTGACACGAGGTGTCCTTGGGACACTGGACATCCTGACACGATGGTTGGTGGTGGACACACTGCGGCCACCCATCGGTCATCTTACACCTGGTGCCCTGGGGACAGTGGAGGTCACTGCAGGACGATCTCCTGATGGACGTCTTGATGTGGACACACTGGGGATGACCACTGACCATGTGGCACGAGGTGTCCTTGGACACTGGAGGTCACTGCAGGACGGTCTCCGGATGGACATCTTGGACTGGACACACTTTGGCCACCCATTGACCATGTGACACGAGGTGTCCTTGGAGCACTGGACATCGAGACAGGACGGGGGTCATGGACACACTGCGGCCACCCATTGGTCACCCTGCAGGAGGTGCCCTGTGGACAGGGGGAGGTCACTGCAGGAAGGTCTCCTGATGGACGTCTTGGTCTGGACACACTTGGGGATGACCACTGACCATCTGACATGAGGTGTCCTTGGGACAGTGGACATCACTACAGGACGGTCGGTGATGGACACACTGCGGCCACCCATCGGTCATCTGCATTGGCTTCCTTGGGACAGTGGAGGTCACTGCAGGAAGGTCTCCTGATGGACATCTTGGTCTGGACACACCGTGGCCACCCATTGACCATGTGGCACAGGGAGCCTTTGGAGCACTGGACATCACTGCAGGATGGTCGCTGATGGACACACTGCGGCCACCCATTGGTCATCTGGCACTGGGTTCCTTGTGGACACTGGAGGTCACTGCAGGAAGGTCTCCTTGGGGTCAGCTTGGACTGACACACCTTGGCCACCCCCTGACCATCTGGCATGTGAACCCTTTAGAGCACTGGACATCCTGGCAGGACGGTTGGTGGTGGACACACTGCGGCCACCCATCGGTCATTTTGCACCTGGTGCCCTGGGGACAGTGGAGGTCACTGCAGGACGGTCTCCTGATGGACGTCTTGGTCTGGACACACCTTGGCCACCCACTGACCATCTGGCACGTGGTGTCCTTGGCACAGTGGACATCATGACATGATGGGCGGTCATGGACACACTGCGGCCACCCATCGGTCATCTTACATGTGGTGTCCTTGGAGCACTGGACATCATGGCAGGACGGTCTCCTGACGGACGTCTTGGTGGGGACACAGCGTGGCCACCCCACTGACCATCTGGCACATTGTCCCCTTCTGGCACTGGACATCCTGGCAGGATGGAGAGTGGTGGACACACTGCGGCCACCCATCGGTCATCTGGCATGTGGTGCCCTTGGGACAGTGGAGGTCACTGCAGGACGGTGGCCTTGGGGTCAGCTTGGTCTGGACACACCTTGGCCACCCACTGACCATCTTGCAAGTGGTGTCCTTGAGCACTGGACATCTCGACAGGATGGTGGGTCATGGACACACTGCGGCCACCCATCGGTCATCTGGCATTGCGTTCCTTGGGGACAGTGGAGGTCACTGCAGGAAGGTCTCCTGATGGACGTCGTGGACTGGACACACTGGGGATGACCACTGACCATGTGGCACGAGGTGTCCTTGGGACAGTGGAGGTCACTGCAGGAAGGTCTCCTTGTGGACACCTTGGTGTGGACACACCGTGGCCACCCACTGACCATCTGGCCAGGGAGCCTTTGGAGCAGTGGACATCCTGCAGGACGGGGGGGGTCATGGACACACTGCGGCCACCCATCGGTCATCCTACACCTGGTGCCTGGGGACAGTGGAGGTCACTGCAGGAAGGTCTCCTGATGGACGTCTTGGTTGGAGCACATCGTGGCCACCCACTGACCATGTGACACGTGGTGTCCTTGGCACAGTGGACATCCTGGCAGGACGGTCTCCTGATGGACGTCTTGGTGTGGACACACTGGGGATGACCACTGACCATCTGGCACATGGTGTCCTTGGACAGTGGACATCCTGGCAGGATGGTTGGTCATGGACACACTGCGGCCACCCATCGGTCATTTTGCACCTGGTGCCCTGGGGGACAGTGGAGGTCACTGCAGGAAGGTCTCCTGATGGACGTCTTGGACTGGACACACCTTGGCCACCCCACTGACCATGTGGCACATTGTCCCCTTCTGGCACTGGACATCACGGCAGGATGGTCGGTGATGGACACACTGCGGCCACCATCGGTCATCTGGCATGTGGTGCCCTTGGGACAGTGGACATCACTGCAGGACGGTCTCCTGATGGACGTCTTGGACTGGACACACCGTGGCCACCCACTGACCATGTGACATGAGGTGTCCTTGGGACAGTGGACATTGTGACAGGATGGCCGGTTGTGGACACATTGTGGATGACCACTGACCATGTGACATGAGGAGCCCTTGGGACACTGGAGGTCACTGCAGGATGGACTCTGGATGGACACCTTGGTGTGGACACACCTGGGGTGACCACTGACCATGTGGCACGAGGTGTCCTTGGGACAGTGGAGGTCACTGCAGGAAGGTCCCCTGATGGACGTCTTGGTGTGGACACACCTGGGGTGACCATTGGTCATCTGGCACCAGGTGTCCTTGGGACACTGGAGGTCACTGCAGGACGGTGGCCTTGGTGCCACCTTGGTGTGGACACAGCGTGGCCACCCATCGATCATCTGACACGTGGTGTCCTTCTGGCACCGGACGTTGTCACACGATGGCCGGCTTGTGGACACACTGGGGTGACCATCGGTCATCTGGCACCAGGTGTCCTTGGAGCACTGGAGGTCACTGCACGATGGTGGCCTTGGTGCCACCTTGGTGTGGACACACTGGGGATGACCACTGACCATGTGGCACGAGGTGTCCTTGGGACAGTGGACATCATGACAGGACGGTGGCCTTGGGGATGTCTTGGTGTGGACACACCTGGGGTGACCATTGACCATGTGACACGAGGTGTCCTTGGGACACTGAAGGTCAGCACAGGATGGACTCTGGATGGACACCTTGGGTGTGGACACAGCGTGGCCACCCATCGATCATCTGACACGTGGGTGTCCTTCTGGCACCGGACGTTGTCACACGATGGCCACTTGTGGACGCACCTGGGGTGACCATCGGTCATCTGGCACGAAGTTCCTTGGGGACAGTGGACATCATGGCAGGAAGGTCTCCTGATGGACATCTTGGTGTGGACACACTGGGGATGACCACTGACCATGTGGCACGAGGTGTCCTTGGGACACTGGACATCATGACAGGACGGTGGCCTTGGTGCCACCTTGGTGTGGACACAGCGTGGCCACCCCTGGAGCAGGTGACACGAGGAGCCCTGGGACACCGGACGTTGTCACACGATGGTGGCTCATGGACACACCTGGGGTGACCATTGGTCATCTGGCACCAGGTGTCCTTGGGACAGTGGACATTGTGACAGGACGGTGGCCTTGGTGCCACCTTGCTGTGGACACACCTGGGGTGACCATCGGTCATCTGGCACGAGGTGTCCTTGGGACAGTGGACATTGTGACAGGACGGTGGCCTTGGTGCCACCTTGGTGTGGACACACCGGGGTTGACCATTGGTCATCTGGCACGAGGTTCCTTGGGGACACTGGAGGTCAGCACAGGATGGATCTGGATGGACACCTTGGTGTGGACACACTGAGGGTGACCATTGGTCATCTGGCACGAGGTGTCCTTGGGACAGTGGACATCATGACAGGACGGTGGCCTTGGTGCCACCTTGTTCTGGACGCAGCGTGGCCACCCCTGGAGCAGGTGACACGAGGAGCCCTGGGGACACCGGACGTTGTCACACGACGGCCGCTGGTGGACACACCTGGGGTGACCATTGACCATCTGACACAAAGTTCCTTGGGGACACTGGAGGTCACTGCAGGATGGGACTCTGGATGGACACCTTGGTGTGGACACATCGGGGATGACCACTGACCATGTGGCACGAGGTGTCCTTGAGCACTGGAC